GTCCCCTCTGTCCCCTCACGTCCCCCGCGACTCCCCCCCCCCGCTCGGTCGCCCCCTGGGGGCACGAAAATGAGATGTAAATCAGGCGAGGCGAAGGGGGGGGCGGGACTGCGTGTAAATCCCATGCAATCGACATGCGAACGATGCCGGGAGCCAACCCGAGGGATCGGGGGAGGTGGGGGGGGACACAGGGACTGCAATGAGATGCAAATGAGAGGGCGGAATGCAGACGGGCACACGTATACGCGTACGAAACGCAAACGATATGCAGATGAGATGCAAACGATCCACGGCTCCCCCGCCCACGTGACCCGAGCGCCCCACGTGATTAGGGAGCGCCACGTGACGCGGGCGCCCCCCGCGCTGCCGCCGTCGCGTCGCTCTGACGCCACTTCCGGCGCGACGGCGGCGGGCGCCGGTACCGGGAGCCCCGGGGCGGTGTCATGGCGGACGACGGCGGCGAGGAGAAGAAGCAGGTGGCCAAGTTCGAGCTGGAGCGGGAGACGGAGCTGCGCTTCGAGGTGGAGGCGGCGCAGACGGTGCAGCTGGAGCTGCTGACCGGCATGGCCGAGGTGTTCGGCACCGAGCTCACCCGCAACAAGAAGTTCACGTTCGACGCGGGCGCCAAGGTGGCCGTGTTCACGTGGCACGGCTGCACCGTGCAGCTCAGCGGCCGCACCGAGGTGGCCTACGTGTCGCGGGACACGCCGATGCTGCTGTACCTGAACACGCACACGGCGCTGGAGCAGATGCGGCGCCAGGCCGAGCGCGACGACGAGCGCGGCCCCCGCGTGATGGTGGTGGGACCCACCGACGTGGGCAAGACCACCGTGTGCCGCCTGCTGCTCAACTACGCCGTGCGCCTGGGCCGGCGGCCCACGTTCGTGGAGTTGGACGTGGGGCAGGGCTCGGTGTCCATCCCCGGCACCATGGGCGCGCTGTACATCGAGCGCCCCGCCGACGTGGAGGAGGGCTTCTCCCTCCAGGCCCCCCTCGTCTACCACTTCGGCTCCACCACGCCCGGCACCAACATCAAGCTCTACAACAAGGTGAGCGCCGGAGGAGATCCTCCCCCCCGCCGGGGGCGGTGGGAGCAGCTCCGGCGATCCCTGTGCCTCGGGATGTGGGGAGGGCAGCGGGGGAACGGGCGTGGAGGAGCCCCTCCGGCGAGGGGAGAGAGGCTGAGGGGCCACGGCTGGGCTGTTCCCTGCCCCGAGCCCCCAGGCTGGGGGGATCTGAGCGCCCAGGGGGGCTGTCTGGGGACAGAACCCTGACCTGGCTGCAGCCCTGGGGACAGGGCCTGGCTCTGCCACCCTGGTGCAGTCACTCCTCCCCAGCTGGGGGGAGGGAAGTGCAGAGGAGGATGTGAAGCTGATGAGGGAACGGGAGGACCTCCCCTGTGCAGACAGGCTGGGAGAGGGGCGGCTGTTCAGGCTGGGGAGGAGGAGGTTGTGTGGGGACCCCAGAGCAACCTCTCGGTATCTGAAGGGACTCTTCCCCAGGAACTGGAGTCACAGGACAAAGGGGAACGGGTTCACACTGACAGAGGGGAAATTTGGGCTGGATACTGGG